ATATCGCATAGGTATGACCAGGTATAGAGATATAATCAATAATCGAATACCTCGTGAACCAACCGAAGAATGGCTCCGTATTGTAGGATTGGTCAAGAATTCGTCTGCACCAACAATATTACCTGAGAATCCTAACTGAACTGATGAAAATACTTTGCATCTAGAATCTAGTGTTGCGCCTATTAATATTCCGGTATCTGTAGTTGTAGAAGATACAAAAAAGAAATCCAAATCAGTTCGTATATCTGATCCGTCTTCCGATAGAAAAAAATCGACAGAAAGGTTAGGTGAAATATCGACGAAAAAAAAAACTATACCGCCTGTTACTTCACAAGAGACTGAAGATGTTTTGGAGTTATATAAGAGACAGCAAAAAGAAATGGAAAAGATTAAAGTAAGCGGTCGTACTCAAGCTTCTAAATTATCTGTTATCTAGTACTTGGATCAAACCTATAAGGTCTGGAATTTATAATTAATCCTGTTCGTATAGATCACGCGAATTAGCCTTGATAACTTCGTTATTATAATATCCGATCATTTTAGAAAGAGATTGAATGCTGATAAACAACGCCTTTTCGAGTTCTTTTTCACGGTTTGACTTATTCTCGCAATTCATGCATTTTTTTTTAAACTCTGTATCTGTATCTTCAGAAATAGATGAAATTGCATTAACGTGATGTACCTCAAGCTCATTTTCAACTCTATGCATAGTAACTGGGATGATGAAATCTTTTCCATTGCAATGAAGCTTCATTTCGGATTTAGCCCAATCCATCGCACAATCGTGTTTTTTAAGGAAGGGGTTGCTCAATATCAACATAGACTTTTCGTATTCAATGACTACAAAATCTAAACGAAATACACAGCCAGGAGCTAGGGTTAATGGTACGTTATAAACCATTCCAATTGATTTTGTCAGAACAGTGGCTGCTCCCTTGAAATAATGCGTAGTACTTTTATCGATTTTTAGATCCAAACGCTCAGCAATATCCCTAGACATAAGTAAAGTATTGGAACCAGGATCAATTGTAATTGCTGTAAGTACTAGACGTTTGATTTTACCCCTTATAGTTGGAACATCTATTACATCTTTATCCCGAACAAAGTTAATTTCCATATCTTCGATAACTTCTTCATCCTCGGTATCTTCGCTTTGTTGAGAAGTATCATTTGCGGTACTAGATTTCTGAAAATTTCGTAAGATTTTACTTATAGCCTCCTCTAATAAAGTGGAATTTACAAGCTCACTTTGAATGATTTCACGCATTCGTCTCTCTAGTAAAGTTGAAGTGGGGTTTTGTGAAGATGTTTTATTTGATATCTTCTTAATAGGTCGCTCTACTTTTTTTTAAATCTGGATACATTAACATTGGATTCCTCATCAGGCACATCATCAATTCCGTCATAACCCTCTTGATCAGAAATAGCGGATTCGTCAGGAATTTCTTCTGTATCAGAGTGGCTTTGTTGGAACCCATCAGCAAAATTCACACGACCGATTTTTTTCTTGGAATTATTAGCCATCATATTCTTAATTATGGGACAACTGCGATAAGTATGTCCCGGCTTTTTGCAAATCTCACATTTGCGCTGGATCGGCCTAGTACTTACTCTAGGATCTCTAGCCAGATTTACTGATGAATTGGGGGAGTTAGGCAATCCCTCAAGTTGATCTAATTTACCCGCAATATTGACTATCGCGTAATCAATTTCCATCGGTTCTAGTACTCTGTTATCTTCGGCTTCGAGACCCATATCTGCATAATTCCTTAACTCTTCATAATACTTGGCCTTCTCAGTTTTAGGACGAAAACTTCGTTGATAATCATATACAGGAGGCGTTTTTTGAACAAATTGCGGAGGTGGTTGAACGATTTGTTGAGATGGATGGAATACAGGTTGTTGTACAATTTGCTGAGGCGGTTGCAATGCCATCCCATTCATACTATTTGCATTTCCGTAATTAAATGAAGAAGGCCTACGTTTGAGCCACAATTTTTTGAGGTCGGTGAAAAATGCATTGATATTTGCGGGATTTGCACTTTCCATTCGATTGAAAAGCTCATCGGGTAAATGATTCATAAGGAATGACAAGGCATTAGCATCATCGTTAGCAACGCCCAATAATAGGGGGCGTATTCTCGTCTCATATGTTTCCGGCGTATCATTAGATAAAAATTTTTCATAAGCTAACCTCTGGAGAGCAACTTGCTGTGTTCCAATCGTTTCTGTCTGATATTTATAACGTAACCATGCAATAAAGCGAGCCGGAGTATCAATTGCATTTCCCGCGTGTTGATTGGGTACATCTGCATATTTTCTGCCAAGTCTACCCTTTAAGATAGCTACTTTATTGGCATCATTGAGATTAGTTATCGCAGGAATAGCTAGTATGGCGTGAATTTTATTATACCATTCATCAGGCTGAACCTGTCCATCATAGAATTCAACATTTGCGAGTAAAGGTGTAATACCAGTCAAGTCACCTATAGCTGTCATATTTAGTGGATTATTATGAAGCGCTAAAATTTGTTGATTTAAATTTATTATTCTTAGCCGCGAATCCTTTTCCTTATTTTCCCACTTTTTATGCTTCGTCTTTTGCTTGATATGTTTACCTTTTCTTTTTGCATGCTTTCTACGCCAATTTTGTAAATCGGCTTGACATGTTTGTAGTTGCCCGGTCTGAAAAATGTGGGCCTGGTTAAGAAGATCGAAGTTATTATTCGCCGTATCCAGCTGAGCCTGCAATTGTATGATAATTTGCGCATCTCCCTGATTTTGGGTCTGAAGCTGGGTCGCAAAATTATTTAACTGATTAATTGCATTAGCATCTTGCTGATATTGGACTTGCGCTTGGGTATTTTCCCACTCAGCTATATCCCGAAGTCTATTTACAGAATCGTTAACTGTAATAATTTTGTTTAGAATATCTCTTTGATTCCAGGCCGATATTTGGTAGTTTCGGATATAATCATCAATATGCCCATTTTCATCCAGAACTGTATCAAATATTGTATTAATCTCATTGGGAACTGGTGGTTGAATCTGATTCGGATTCGGTTGAGCCATCTTAACAATGTCAAATAAATTTTTGATCAAGAATATAATTCTCCTTTTTATTCGCATCCTTTAGAGTAGACCGAAGACGTTTTTGCAAATCGGATACTTGGGATTTGAGTTCCTGAATCTCCTTTTCGTGGGCTATGATTGTAG